AAGTAATTACAATCACTAATCCAGAATTAAATTCCCGCAAGAGATTAATATGATAAATGCATTAATTACGCGTATTTCAAATATTCTGTGATTTTCGCAAGATTTTTATATTTTCATTTCTATCGCATCAAAAAAGAAGAGAAAAAAAAACCGAATCCACGATTAAAAGGTAGAAAAATAGAAGAGTGCTGAGTGTTGTGTGTGTGAAAGACAAGAAATTTCAAAATGCAGCTAAACGTCGAATAATTCAAAAGATTATCGATGCGAAAATCTGCGCCAAAAAACCGCGATGAACATCGCGAGAAAACTTGTAAAATCCATTTCAAGCCTCTCCCTCTCTCGCGCTTTGAATTACGCAATGTAATCCGCGCTCTCGACATTCATTTCGCGCGCAAAATAACCTCACTTTTTGCAAATAGATGATTTTGCAAAAAGAAAAAGAAGAAGAAGAGATTGACAATTCGTCCTCGCTGGACCGCGATGTTTCTCGCACGTGGTCGATGACGTGTACTCCGCCCGCACAAAGGGTACCCCCGTCCGACCCTTCTCTCCCCCCCTCCCTCACGAAAATAGCGGTATTCTATTCTCTTTTGCCAACACGACATGCGGACGAGGAAATTCTTTTCTTTTCGTTGTAGAAACAGGTGTTACGGATAAGAATTGGAGCGTCGAAAAGGGGAAAAGGCGAAGGGGGAGGATCGGAAAAAAGCGCGCGTAAAGTCACGTACGCGGCTGATAAAGAGAATGGACCACGCGTTTCGTAACAAGGTGACAAATAGAAGGGAGAGAGAAGGGTGCGTTTCGCAAGGACGATGAGAGTGCATATAGGAGCAGGGCACGCGGGCGCGTACCCTCCGGTTGGAGAGGGAAGTCGTAAAAGGGGATCAAACGCTAGAGAAAGAAACAAGGAAAAGGAGAAGGAGTGAGGGCGCGAAAGGAGCAAATATGTGTGTGTGTGTGTGTGTGTGAGGCTCGTGCTTAAACGGGAAAGAGCGCGAGGGAGAGAGGAAAAATGAGAGAGCGAGAGAATGAGAGCGAGAGAGCGAGCGAGCGAGAGAGAGAAAGAGAGGGAAAGAAAGCATATAATGACGTACCATGATCGGCAGCACAGCGTTGATTTTGCGAATGTGATTCTCGGTCTCGTCGAAGATGTTGATCGAGATACCCGAATGCTGGCCGCAGAGGCGGCAAACGCGGCTCGATTCGAGGGTCTCCATGCCGCATATACTCCGGAGCTCTCAAGTCACGCTACTCCGCGTCGGCTATTCTCGCGCGTCGCCTCAGCACAGCCCTCTCGCGCGCCTCCACTCAGTTTCGTAGCTCTCGCTTTATCTTGGCTGGTCGCCTAGCGCTGCCCTCGCTCCACTCCGTTGTCCTCGGCGCGCGCCCTGCCCTTACCGCCTTGCCACGCTTCTTGCTTCAACCCGTATGCGCTCGTGCTCGCGTGCGTCCGCGCCCTACCCGCGGGAATCCAGAAAAGCGTCCACGAAATGCGAAGAGTGGATTGGAGCGAGAGAGAAGGAAACAGCGGGAGATAGAGGAGGAACGAGGAAGGGAGGACAAGTAGAGATGTGCGCGATAAACCGCATAAACTCGACAACACGACGTCGCGAGACGCAGCCGATCAGCAGGTACGCGACCGAGACCAGTCGAGACGGTCGAGACGTAGGTCGGCCAACGTGGATCGACCGAACTGGATGGAACTGGGCGACCGGCGCTGGTAATATCTGATCCGATGTACTGCACGCGAATGCGAGATCGATCGGTGTCGCCACTCAACGATTGATTCGAGCTATGTATTGTTATCAGAGAGAAACCTGAGAGCGGTCATGACCACGATTTCAGCTTTTACCATATCATAGATAACATTCACGATCTTGTGGTTCTGTTCTGTGCTTATTTTCTGGATTAGACAAAGACGAAACAATCAAAGTCTGATTACGTTCGCCTTTGTCGCATTCATCTAATAGCACGGAACAGAACCACAAAATCGTGGACATTATCTGGATTTGGTAACAGCTACTAAATCGCAATCATGAAAAAGAAAAGATCTGTTATTATTCCGGAAGTTATAAGATAAAATATGAAATAACATGAGTAAATATTTATATATATAAACATAAAATATGAAATAACATGAGTAAATATTTATATAAAAGAACATTTATATTAACACTTTTTAAACACTGACATATAATTGTGCTATATTAATTAGTTGATTGCTTCTCTTTACTATGATCTTCTTCGATACAAAAATTAGTAATTTAATAAAAATATACATATATGTAATTTATATTAATGATCGTAAATTTATACCAATAGTTGATAATGTGGACGTTCTTGAATTATCTTCGAGCATCACGAATTCTTTTGCACATAACTAAAAGTTTTATACAATAAGATTGAAAACAAGATCGTTAAATACATTTCTGAAAAATTAATTCAATTTAAATGAATGTATATTATATAGTAGTTCAACATCTTAACATCGGAACGGTAAGGCGCTTCGTATTTTAAGTTTTAAATACATTACTTTAAATATAAACGCTACGGTCTGAATGTTAAGATGTTTGATTGTTTTGAGTTTATTATAATTTTTTAAGATTAAATTTGGGAAATTTAGGGGGATTATTATTAATATTTCAGATTGATTACGTTGAAAGTCCGACAACCATATTGGCACGCAATTACCATTTCTGAAATTAATTCATTTAAATGAATATGTATAATAGTTCAAACATCTTAACATTCAGATCATAATGGCGCTCCGTATTTAAAGTAAAAGTTTTATAACTGCTAATATCTGACTTTAGAATTGATAAATAAAAATATATGAACAGGAAAAAGTTTTATATAGAATACAATCTATTCTGCAACGACAGTTAATTTGGTAATCATAAATTATTGTATTTAGATAAAAAATAATATATATAAGAAATCTACATTGTTTTATATTAGCACTTTAGATATAGTTTATTATATTTTGCATAAACGCGCAATTCTAATTTAAATTTATATATCGTTAATATTGACTATCTAGGGCTGTGGTCAAAGTCTCGCTACAAATGCTTTGAAACATTTGATAGACCAATTAGAAGAAAGAATTTTACAAACTGATTAAATAATACTTCAAAACGTTTGTAGCATTGCGTTGACCGTAATCTTTATCAACGTTTTTGAATTAACCAATAAGAAAATATACGAGAATTTTTATCATATGCATTTTTTATATTCTCATATTTAAACATTATATGCTTTCTATTTTGTTCAACAACGACTGCATCGGTTAGTCCTAAACCGCATTTTTCTATCTTCACGTGCAGTTTAAATGAATTGGCTCAAATTGCTAGTGCAGGTCGCACACGTATGGAATCTCTTTTATAGACTTTGTACAGTAAGTCATTATCTAAGTTTTAAGTCTTAATCTGTAAGGAATTAACCAATTATAGTTGAATATGAGAAGAATAATCGACTATGATTGGTTAAAGTTTAGATATTGACTTATTGTAGAAAGCCCATTACGCTAATAATAATAACCCAATCAGCAGCAAATGTTTTTTAAATGTTTTTTAAACGTTTATTTCTCATTAGTTTTACATTTTTCACGATTTGTTTTCAAAATTAATTAATTTAACATTAATTTAATGTTTATTAAACATTATTTTATATTATAATTTTTTATTTGAAATAATTTGAAAAATATTTTTTAAATGTTTATTTAATATTAATTATTCATTTAAAATGTGGTGATAAGAAACATTATTTCACGTTTATTTCACATTAATTATTTGTTTGAAATAATGGTTTAAAGAAACATTTATTTAATGTTTATTAAATCTTTTTTAAACGTTTATATGAATGTTTGACGTTTAATAAATGTTTATATAAATGTGTGACGTTTAATAAATGTTTGTTTTATTATTTATTTATTTAAAATATGATTAAAACATATTTATTTAACATTTATCTGATATTTATTATAAATATGTATAAAATATTATTTTCTAAAGCTCAAGTTAATAAAAAATGGATCGGAATAAAATAATTGGAAGAGAAGTTAACACAATATAATTTAATCATCAATTGTATCATATATAATCAATAAGAACCAATATGTGCATCGATAGTTACAAGTGGCGTGACGGATAAGGTATGAGACTCATAACTTTGAAGTCCCAGGTTACAAAATCCGGCCGATAAGTGAAAAATATTAAAATATAATTAAAAATTGGAAATGAATTAATACAATTAGTTGTCTAAGATTTTTAGACATTGTTGATAAAAAAAACATAAATTAAAAAAAAATTCAAGATTATTATTTTTTCTAATTTTGTTTAAATAATTTTAAAACATTAACATTAAAAAACGTTTTTTAACGTTAAAGAAATGTTTTTTCAAACGTTAAATAAACGTTTCTTAAACGTAAAAAAATATTTATTCAAACATTACAATAAAGATTTTTTTAATCAAAAGAAGGGGACTTAACTCATTATTTTTAAAAATATTGTCTGCTGATTGGGAAGTAAAAATAATAAGATAAACCGATATTCATAGCCAGTTTCTTATTTCAATTAATAATTCTTATTTTAATTAGCAATATTTAAAAATGCTAATAAGAGTGCAAATGCTAATAATTAGCAATATTTTTAAATACAATAAGAATGTTTTATGACAATATAAGATTTAAATAACAATTTAAGACTTAAGTTATAAATTCAAGTGGTCTATGAATATCAGCTCTTTCGATCACTATGTGAACAATACAAATAAATAAACATCTAAAACCTCTATGTATAATATATGTTAGACATTAGCCGTATTGACCTTTATTCGAGAATATGTGCAAAGAAAAAAGATCTTTCAGTTAATGTGCTGATTGAAATGGTGTTAGGTTTATTGAAAAGAAAGTTGAAAAGAACTGAAAAACATTGGGCTTTTCCGGATCAAGTTGTATTTCACAAATCGACATAATTACGATTCTAATTTTCTGCACGTTGACAATGTCAGCTGTGAAGAGTCGGAATGCAGAAAACCAACAAAATGTACATTTGGATCCGATCGAAAAATCGGAGAACGACAAGAAGGAATATAGGTAAAACGAGAGCAAACTCAGTAGTAAGCACGATTTCGATTGCATTAAACGTGAGAAATAATATGATAATAATCTTTGGAAAGAAATATTGCAACATTTAGATTTTTTTAAATGATCGACAAAATATACAATATTCTTACTGACTTCTCATTCTATTGTTGTTTGTTTTATTTTTAAAATTTAGAGCCATCAGATTGCCAAACGGTTTAGAAGCTTTGCTAATAAATGATGAAAATTTAACATCTTCTTCTCAAGAAAAGAAGGTATAAAAACAACAATTTAATTTGCATTTTACGACTTACTAATTTTTTTAATTAACTTGTTATTCAAAATTTATATTTAAAATTAATATTAACAAAATATTAATATTAATAATAAACTTTAAAATCATAAAAAATATCTATTTTTATAAGATTTAAGCAGTGTATTATCAGAAGTTTTGATTTGAAAAATTTAATCTCTTACAAGCAGAAAAGTTTTCATAAATTGATTTCGAAATGTGTGATACAATTTCAAACTGTTTAGTCATTCTGTGGATTATATTCAATTCTTTAATACTGCGTGTAATGCGCGTGATGTGTATACTCTTATATATTTTTAAATAGGCAGCGTGTAGTTTATGCGTGGACGTAGGAAATTTCAGTGATCCGCCAGAATTTCCGGGCATATCATATTTCTTAAACTATATGCTTTTTCAAGCATTTAGAGAAGAAGATTCAGAGGTACTAAAACATGATGCATAAATTTACTGTAAAATTTATTTATTTGTATATTTAAGTATCATTTTATTTGCAGGAATATACTTTGGAAGAATATATTGATCACCATAATGGTACTACTTGGTTCTCAGTAACCAACGAGCATACAATATTTTACTTTGATATCGAAGAAAACAGCTTGTTTTATGTTCTCTGCAGTTTATGTCTTTTTTTTTTTGATCCTTTAATATCGGAAGATGTATTTACGAAACTAGATAATGTAGAAGACGGTATTATAAATCATAATCTAAACAATGTTGTCCCAACTTGCAGTCTTGACATGCTATGCTTATATAGAGTTTCAGGAATGCTTATATAAATACAAGAAGAGACACGATGAATTTCTATTTTACTCTTTCGCACAAACTGGTCATCCAGCCAATAAATTTTCCATAGACGATTTAATAAAATTGCGCAATAATATAGATTACCACAAATTGTACAATGTGCTGGCCAAATTTAAAGAGCGCCACTACAGCGCTCACAGAATGAAACTAGTAATACGGGTAACTTTGTTAAAATTGCGACGCGAGAATTATTTATTACTTATCGAGTTTATGATTCTTTTGTTTATAAAATAAAGTTAAATCATAACATGATACATCTTTTCATAGTCGGGATTATCGTTGGATATAATGGAAGAATATGTCACAATGTACTTTAATAGTGTGCCAAATAACAGGATACCTCCAGATAATTTTTCTAAATTTAAAAACGATCTCCCTTTTGATACTCCAGCTTTCCAAAAAATATATAAAGTTAAAGATAACAGGGAATCTTTGACACGAGTATGTGACTAAAATTTGAACAGATGTAAAAGAATCTAAGTTTATACAACATAAAAATACAAATAAATATACAAAAAATTTCTCTTTTGCAGCTAAAATTAACATGGGCCTTGCCTTCGTTATCCGATTTTTATAAATATAATTCATATCAATATATCCCGTGGATTTTGGTATATAAAGGAAAAGGTTCCTTAACTAGTTATCTACGACAAAAAATGTGGAGCCCATCAGACGATATTATACTTGATTGCAAGACTCAAGAAAACTCTTTGTACAGATTAATACAGCTCACTATAGTACTCACTTCTGCAGGACGAAAACATCTGAAAGATGTTCTAGATGCGATATTTTCTTTTATCAATTTACTAAAGAGAGCGGGTCCGCAAAAAGAAATTTACAATGACATTTATGAGTGTAAACAAAATACTTTTAGGTAAAGTAATTTAAAAAATAAATATATGTATTTAAGGTAATTGAAGAGAAAGGCCAACAATATATTTGTGGAACATCACTTATACGAAAGTCTTTTTAGATTTACTAATTACGACGAAGAACCAATAACTTTTGTAAGACAATTGAGTAGGAATATGCATTCCTATCCGTCGAATGCTTATCTAACTGGAAACCAGTTTGATTCGAATTATAATGCAAAAATTATACAAAAATATTTGAATTATTTGGTACCTGAGATGGCGAATATTATGATTTTATCAAAGGATTTTAATGATTTCGAATTAAAGAAGATTGAACCATGGTGGTATACGGCATATACAGATATTAAGATATCGAAAGAGTGGATCGAACGTTGGAAAGTCATCGAGCCATTACCAGAATTTTTTTTACCGTCACCGAATATATTCCTTACTAACAACCATTTTCTAATGCCGATATCAAATAAAGCAATTTCGAAATATCCTATAAAATTATACTGTAATTCTGTGTCGGAGATTTGGTATCGCCAGGATCCTAAGTTTTGTTCGCCGGAATGTTGTATGCATTTCTATTTTATTTCACCTTTGAAACTTGTGCCATTGAAGAAGTAAGTAGCATAGAAAATGTAACAATACTATTGTACTTGACATTATTTGTATACCAATTTTTAACTTATAATTATTAATATTATGATTATTATATAATTATTTATATATTATTGAAAAAGACATTAATGACATTTCAGTAAAGTTTTCATGACTTTGTACTGTAAACTATGGCGAGAGCTATTAGCCGAAGAATTACAACCAGCTATACTGGCTCGATTTAAATATAAAATCAGTACCTATTTCAATAATTTTACATTAAAAATAAGCGGTCCTAATGAAACTATGCCAGTAAATATACGTTTTAAAGTGTGCTTTGGAGTTATAAATACAATTTCAAAATATATCATTATATTTATATTGCAGCTTGTAGCGGCTACTATTGCACAAAACATGGTGCAATATTCAAGCTTTATTACGAATGACATATTTGAAAATCTCAAAATTCGACAAATTCAGATATATTACAACTTATTAATTAGCGATCCTAAGAGTTTTATCAAGTACTGACTGTTTATTATATCAGGCATTATTACAACAATTACAAAATTCTCACATAACTCTAATAAATGATTAACAATACATTATTAATTATAACAATTGATATTTTAAAATAAATTATATTATGTTACTTTTCTGCTAATTAATAATATCTTTATTCTTGCTTGCAGTAACATCATGTTTTCGATATTGAAACTCGACTATTATTCATATATTGATATGCATACTATTATACAGGATATCACATTGAAAGACTTTCAAGACTTCGTGAAATCCTTTACCGAACGTCTATACATTCAATGCTTTGTGCAAGGAAATATGATGTCGACTGTTGCAATCAAGACCGTACAGCAATTTATTAAAACAATTAATTGTAGTCCTTTACACTCAAATACAATACAACAACTTAGAGGCACTCAAATACCTTTGGGCATAAGCTATTACAAGATTAAAAATATCACCAAATTAGATACAACTTCCGTGATAAGAAATTATTATCAAGCCGGTGTCACCACGATTGAATTATCGACATTAATTTATCTGTTAAGCGTAAGTATTAAAGGGATCCTAAAGTGAAACGTGAATTTCGAGGAGATCGCTATTTACTGAAAAATGTGACGCATTGACACATCTTTATATACTACTGCATCATTATTTCACGCAAACATATGCATAAATTTTCGTGGAATAATAGCGATTTAATTAAATTTCAAAATCAAATTCTAAGAATTCCGCGTCCTTTGTTTATGTAAACTACCAATCTGTAGATCACAATTTTGTAAGTACAGATTGCAAAGCTTTTATATCAAGCAAATGTTTCGATATTGTTAACGTCATATTGGGGTAAGAAATGGTAAAGAAAATCTCAATTTGAGTCATTTTTTTTTCATTTTCGATAAACTCTATCACACGTACGTATTAATGCGTATACTTTAATCCTGGAATACGATTTTTGAATCTGTAAAAGAGGAAAAAAGTAGTTATTATACGAAAATTATTGCGATTAGTCGGTGATATAGACAACTTAATTATCTCCTTAAATAACATATATTATTTTGTGTATTTTGAATGCATGGAATCTTTGATGCATATTCATTTATTTTTAAAAGTTAATGAAATATGAATAAGATTTTTGATTATCACGATAATTTTACCTGCACATTACAGTCACTTCCACTTGTTTTCAGAATATATTGAACAAAAAGATATACGAGAGTCCCATTGATAAATTTGAAGATGTCGAAGTCGACGTTGTAGAGAGTGACGGAATTTTAGGATATTCCATTACTATTTCCACTAAAGCATATTATTACACAACCGAGTACATTGATAAGAAGATCGACGAATTTTTGAAATGGTTTAAAAACGATTTGAAAAATCTCACAGAAGAGGAATTGGATGTTTACAAAGAGAGGTTCCTAGAATCTAGATCACATGATGATGCCAATTTTGAAGCTGAAGGTGAAAGAAACTGGGACGAGATCAGAAAGTGTACTTACATGTTTGATTTACATGAACAGGAAATACTTGCTCTAAAGAAAATAAATGTTAATAACCTGAGAGAATGGGTTGCAGATCACACACCAAACGGAAGTAATTTCAGAAAATTGAGTTTACATGTTGTAGGAACTATTTCCAAAAAATACGTTAGTTTGGAATACATAAACGATTATCAGCAGTATAAGTCAGATAAATATCATCATTATATTACTAAAGTAGAAGATTATAAGGAAAAACTTTTTATATTTCCAACTAAGAGTTCCAACAAATCCTCTTAGAGCACAGAATAAATGACACATTAACGATTTAATAGCATAATGAAAATAAAATTATAACTTTTATTGTCTTATGATAATGAAGTTTTTTTGATGGTAGAACGATTAAATTTAGCTTTTTATCCTCTCATAGCAATTACGCAATAAATCAATGCAAATATCTTTTGTAGTTATGTTAATTATACTTCTATATTCTTTGCGATAAGCCGTTCTGAATAATAGCTATTATTGTAACAACTATAGAATTTTGCATTTTGCTACAGAACTAGAATATTCGAAATTAATAGAACGAAATTTTCTTACATTAAAATTAAAATGATTAGTTTTATATATTAACGATTTTCTTTAATAAGAAAATATAAACAGATACATAATGGAAACATATTAGAAATAATTGTAATAACTAGACAAAAACATACTGTGGTTAGGATGCGCCGGATTGTAAAATTATCGGATACCGGATATCCGGGCAGAATGTAATATCGAATATCCGGTATTCGAAAAAGTAATTTCTTCCAGTAGAATATCCGACATTTTTTGGATATCCGACTGGATTCTGAGAAAATATCTTCTAAAAAAAAGGCCTATAGCGAAAAAGATTGTAATTTTGCGACAATATATAACATATTATAGCATCATAAATATGATATATCATACTTATTTCTAGAACATTTGTATAAGAAAAAAATCAATAATTTGATGATATTGAATGATATCATATTTTAACTGGATAATAGTGATATTTAGCTATCCGATTGGATATTTAAAAAGTGCCGGTTAATATTGGATAATGGATATTTTCCGAATTTCCGTTGCATCCCTAGTGATAAAGCAGGATGTTAGTTAAAAAATAAAGTACTTGCTTAAGATGTAATTTTGTATATGTTTTATTTGTATTCTAAACACGACAAAATGTTTTCATATAATATAATATAATAAAATATATCTCTCACTCTCTTTAACTCTCTCTCTTTCTCTTTCCTATCTTGAGTCATATCACACATTTTCAAACTTAACTTAATTGATTTAAAATTTGTATTCTTTTAAAGGCCGCAGTTAAGCAAGATTTTTCTATAAACTGAACGACTGATTTTACAAACATTTTACTTTTGTGTATGCATACATATTGTGTAGGAATTGCATTTTAAATAAATTGATGAAATATTAAATATTATACTTTCTAGAAAAAGAGGAAATTTTTTAATTTAATTGCTTCTTAAATCAATTGCTCAGTTTCCTATTCTTTTGGAAAAGAAAATTTTATAATTCGGCGACAGCTGGCGAGCATAAAAAAAAGGCAAAGCATTTGCTTCTAAAAATCAGATTTTTTGATCATTAATAAGTAATATATAATAAGTAATATATACAATAATTAATAAGTAATATACAATATAAATAATTTAAATTAATGCAACATTCATTAAGGGTTGGTTTTGAGTTTTATACTTTAAATAAACATCATATATATTCTATTTTTTTTATTTTTCCAATATTTTTTATTTTCCAATTATATAGATTTATAACTCTTATACATTTTCAAATATTTATTATTTATAATCACAATGTAAATAGTTAAAAAATATTGATATTATCTCTGGGTCTTCCAGAACTCTTCGATAATTATAAAAATTTATTTAAAGTTGACAACCTCTAATAGTTAGCTTATTTTTTTCAATTGAACTCCATGCATATAATTTATCTATCCCTTTTTAAGAACAGGAGGAAAAATTAGCGATATAAGAAGTTGAACTCAATTCGATGATTCTCATTCATTATAGCATTACAGTTCTAAAAAAAAGAAATTAAGCGTGATTGTTTAAAAGTTTGTTCTTAAGGGAGCATATACGTCTAGAGGTGGTGAAAAAAATCGATTATTTTAAATATTTAAAATATAATGTCCTAAAAAAACATTTTTGTAGATTTATTCGGCGAAAAATAAAGAAGAATTTACACAAAATTATAGACGAGTAAGTTCGAGCGCATTGAAGACAACAGGTAGACGCTCCTGCGACAGGACAGTTCAAGTTCGCGTAAGTCAAAAACTGTTCTTTCTTTATTCATTGCGATTTTCAATAGCATTCTTGAGAGCTGCATTTAAAGATGCGAATGGTTGGGTATAAGATAACAACCTTGTCTGGAAGAGCAACTAAAAAGATTGAAACATTAGCAACGAAAAGTATGATCCGAATGTAAAACTTTAAATGCATTTTTCTCAAAACATACTGTTTTCAAAACACGTAATCACTTAAAGTCGAATCGACTTGCAATTTTACACATTTTCTCTACATATTGAAAACGAATTCCTGACGTAGGATTTTTTTTTCTTTAATGCTAGTTTTTTTTGTAGCCAAAAAGTAAAATTAAAAAAAAAATCGTTATGTTAATTTTGACCAACTGCCATTTTATTCAAACGCAATATTTAAAAAAATGGCTATGTCAAGCACAAGATCTTTTTTTTAATTTCATAAAACTTGTGCCATTTTGCTTTCACACGAGTCTTGTGCGAGCAGCAATGGTCACCCGTTTTATAAAACATGATGTACGAAAATTTGAATAGCGACTTCATTTTATATTATTCTTAAATAAAATTGTAATGGTAAATAGAGAAAAGTATCATTTTTATAATGGAACAAATCCGATTTCTTTGTCTTCATTCGTTTTTCGCAAAAGATTCGTAAAATTGGGCTTGTTTTGAGCAGTCTAGATGTATATGCCCTTTAACTTTCCTTATACTTAAACATAGTCTCTGTTTCTTTCAACTGACCATTATCAGACACTTGTGTAGTTAGATTAAAGATAGCTTTAAACCGGAATACGCTTTTTTATTTCGATGAATAGTTCGATCAAATTAGATTCAAATTTTAAGCGCTTGTCGCACATGTGGGACCTCTTTCAGGCATGTGCCTAGCAACAATGAAATAATTAATTAAACAATCAGTTAGGCAGGCATTTATAGTTGGCTCTTATTTAAAGTTATCTGTTTTAAATAATATGTTAAGACGTTAATAAGACTCAGTGATTGGTTTATGATATTTTAAGATAGTATTTAAACGATATTAAATATAAGAACAATACATAATATATTAATTAGCTTGCTGGATCATTGGCTTTCAGACAAGAAATACAAGTTAGTAAACATCTATAACCTTTGTTTAAAATGTACACAAGTTAGTCGTATATCGATTTCTGTTTAAAAGTGACGTAACGGAAGAAGAAGCCGTATCGGTTGGAGTGCTGATTAAAATCGTCTACCAGAAACGATTTAACATTAGGAATTCTTTCATCGGATCGTATTTTATCGACTAGAATAATGAAAGGGAGTATAAAAAACTGTCAAGTTGAACATCTAGAAACTCCCATCAAATCGGAGAGTGATGAGAAGGAATATAGGTGAGAGGAAATAAATACCGATCAGCATATGCACGATTTTGATTGAAATAAGCGTGAGAAATACTGTGATGATAATTTTTTAGAAGAAATATTATAATGTATTTTTTATTGATAAATGCAGGAATTAAATTTTTTTTAAATAATCAATAATATGCATAACATTCTCATTGACATTCTTATTTTATTAATATTTTGTTTGTTTATCTTTTAAATTTAGAGCCATCAGATTACCAAATGGTTTAGAAGCTTTGCTAATATCCGATGTATATTTAACAACATCCTTTTCTCAAGAAAAAAAGGTATAAAAAAGACAATTTAAAAATTGCATTTTAAGACTTACTAATTTTTTAAATTGTTGTTCAAATTTATATTTTAAAATTAATATTAACAATAAACTTTAAAATCATAAGAGATATCTATTTTTATAAGATTTAAGTAGTGTATTATCAGAAGTTTTGATTTAAAAAATTTAATCTGCTGCACTGTAAAAAAATTTCCATAAATGATTTTGTGTGATACAATTTTAAACTGTTTAATCAATCTGTTTATTATATTTAATTGTCTATTTAACAATGTGTGTAATGCGCATGATGTGTATACTCTTATATTTTTTTAAACAGGCAGCATGTAGCTTATTCGTAGATGTAGGATATTTCAGCGATACATCAGAATTTCCGAACACATCATTTTTCTTAGGAAACATGCTTTTTCAAGAATTCGAGAAATGTTTCGAGGTACTAAAACGTGATACATAAATTTACCGTAAAATTTATTTATTCATATATTTAAGTATCGTCTTATTTGCAGGAATCAAGTACTACTATGAAAAATTTTATTGAAAACCATGATGGCACTTATTATATTGAAGTGGGCCCCGAACATACAATATTTTACTTTGATATCGAAGAAAGCAACTTTTTTTCAGCTCTCTTCAATTTTAGCCTTTTTTTTGTTGAACCTATAATACCGAAACATGTATTTAAACAAATTGTCATAAAAAACGGTATAAAAATCGTAATCTTAAAATTGTTGTCGCAATTTACAGTCTTAACATGCCATTCTTATATAGAGTTTCAGATATTATTTGGCAAGTCGAGATACGAACAATTATTATCTTCCTTCGCACAAATTGGTCATCCGATCAACAAGTTTTCTGTGGATCATTTAATAAAATTGCGGAATAATATAGATTACGATAAATTGTACGATGTACTGGACAAATTTAAACAGCGCCACTATTGCGGTCACAGAATGAAGCTAGCAATACAGGTAACTTCATTAAAATTGCGACGCGAGAATTATTTATTACTTATAGACTTATGGTTCTTTTGTTTATAAAATAAAGTTAAATCATAACATGATATATATTCTTATAGTCAAAATTTGGGCTGAAAACAATGGAAAAATTTGTCACATTCTTTGCTGATGTACCAAATAACAGAATGCCTCCAGATAATTTTTCCAAATTTAAAAACAATCGGCCTTTTGATACTCCCGCTTTTCGAAAAATGTATAAAATTAAATTTTATGATGGACATTTGATAACAGTATGTGACTAAAATTTGAGCAGATGTAAAAGAATCTACACTAGGTTTATACAACATAAAAATACAAATAAGTATACAACAAATTTCTCTTTTGCAGCTAAGAATAACGTGGGCTTTGCCTTCTTTTTCCGATTTTTATAAATGTAATTCATATCAATATATCCCGTGGATTATTGGATACAAAGGAGAAGGTTCCTTAATTAGTTATCTACGACAAAAAATGTGGAGTCCTATCAAATGTGAGCATCTATCAGACAATCATATAATTAATTGCAAGAGTCAACAAAACTCTTTGTACAACTTAATACAGCTCAACATAGTACTCACTTCTGAAGGACGAAAACACCTGGAAGATGTTCTAGATGCGATATTTTCTTTTATCAATTTACTAAAGAGAGCGGGTCCGCAAAAAGAAATTTACAATGACATTTATGAGTGTAAACAAAATACTTTTAGGTAAAGTAATTTAAAAAATAAATATATGTATTTAAGGTAATTGAAGAGAATAGCCAACAATATATTTGTGGAATGCCACTTATACTTGAAATTCTTTTTAGATTTACTGATCACGATAAAAAACCAATCTCTTTTGTAAATCAATTGTGTAAGAACATGCATTTCTATCCGCCGAATGCTTATTTAACTGGAAACCAGTTTGATTCGAATTATAATGCAAAAGTTATACAAAAATGTTTGAATTATTTGGTACCTGAGATGGCGAATATTATGATTTTATCAGAGAATTTTAATGATTTCGAATTAAAGAAAGTTGAACCATGCTGGCAAATGGCATATACGGATATTGAGATACCGAAAGAGTGGATCGAACATTGGAAAGTTATCGAGCCATTACCAGAATTTTTTTTACCGTCACCGAATATATTCCTTACTAACAACCATTTTCTAATGCCGATATCAAATAAAGCAATTTCGAAATATCCTATAAGATTATACTGTAATTCTATGTCGGAGATTTGGTATCACCAGGATCCTAAGTTTTGTTCGCCGAAATGTTGTATGCATTTCTATTTTATTTCACCTTTGAAACTTGAATCGTTACAGAAGTAAGTAGCATAGAAAATACTAACAATACTACTGTACTTGACATTATATGCATATCAATTTTTAATTTATAATTATTAATATTATGATTTTTATATAATTATTTACATATTATTGAAAAAGACGTGAACATTAATGACATTTCAGTGGAGTTCTCATGAATATGTACTGCACACTATTGAAACAACTATTAATCGAAAAATTATATCCAGCTGAACTGACTGGATTTGAATATATTACCAGACTCCTTATGAATGGTTTTACATTAAAAATAAGCGGTCTTAGTGAAACTCTGCCAGTAAGTATAGTTCAAAGTGTGCTTTGGAGTTATAAATACAATTTTAAGATATATCATTATATTTATATTGCAGCTTGTAGCGGCTATTTTTGCACAAGGTATGGTGCAATATTCAAGTTTTATTACGAAGGACATATTTGAAAATATTAAAATTCAAGAAATTCAAAGATTTTACTCTTACGTTAGCAATCCTAAGACTTTCATCGGGTACTGATTGTTTATTATATCAATTATTATTATAACAATTACAAAATTCTTACATAACTAAAATAAATGATTAACATATTAATTATAACAATTGATATTTTAAAATAAATTATATTATGTTACTTTTCTGCTAATTAATAATATCTTTACTTTTGCTTGCAGTGACATGATATTATCGATACTGAAACACGTCCATCGTTCACACATTGATATGCATACTGCTGTACAGGATATCACTTTGAAAGACTTTCAAGACTTTGTAAAATCCTTTACTGAACATCTGTACATTCAATGTCTTGTGCAAGGAAACATGATGCCATCTGCTGCGATTGAGACCGTACAGCAATTTATTAAAACAATTAATTGTAGTGCTTTACATTCAAATACAATACAACAACTTAGAGGCACTCAAATACCTTTGGGCATAAGCTATTACAAGATTAAAAATATCACCAAATTAGATACAACTTCCGTGATAAGAAATTATTATCAAGCCGGTGTCACCACGATTGAATTATCGACATTAATTTATCTGTTAAGCGTAAGTATTAAAGGGATCCTAAAGTGAAACGTGAATTTCGAGGAGATCGCTATTTACTGAAAAATATGACGCATTGACACATCTTTATATACTACTGCATTATTATTTCACGCAAACATATGCATAAATTTTCGTGGAATAATAGCGATTTAATTAAATTTCAAAATCAAATTCTAAGAATTCCGAGTTGTTTGTTTATGTAAACTACTGTAGACCACAATTTCGTAAGTACAGATTGCAAAGTTTTTATATCAAGCAAATGTTTCGATATTGATAACGTCATACGGGATTAAAAATGGTAAAGAAAATCTCAATTTGAGTCTTTTTCGTTTTCGACATAAACTCTATCACACAAACACGTACGTATTAATGCGTATACTTCAATTCTGGAAAAGGATTTTTGAATCTGTAAAAGAGGAAAAAAGTAGTTATTATACAAAAATTATTTAGTCGATGATATAGACAACTTAAGGATCCCCTCTTAAATAACATATATTATTTTGTGTATTTTAAATGCATGGAATCTTTGCATATTTATTTATTTCTGAAAGTTAATGAAATATGAATAAGATTTTTGATTATTCACGATTTATTTTACCTGCACATCATATTCACTTGCACTTGTTTTTAGTATATAATGAACGATAAGTTGTATAAGGCTTCACCCGTTTATAAATTTAACCGTGCCGCAGTCGACGTTGTAGAGAGTAACGGAACTTTAGGATATTCCATTACTGTTTACACTCAAGCACATAAATATACAACCGAGTACGCTGATAAGAAGATCGAGGAATTTTTGAGATGGTTTAAAAACGATTTGAAAGAGCTCACAGAAAAGAAATTGGATGTTTACAAAGAAACGTTTCTGAAATCTAGATCACATGACGATGGCGATATTGAAGACGAAAGATACTGGTTTCAGATTCTATATCATACTTACATATTTAACTTACATGAACAGGAAATAGTTGCTCTAAAAAATATAAATGTCAAAAAGCTGAGGGAATGGTTTGCAGACCACACATCGGACGGAAATAATTTTAGAAAATTAAGTTTGCATATTGTGGGAACTATTCCCAGTAAAGAGAAATGCGTTAATTTAGAATATATAAACGACGATCATCAGCAGCGCAAGCCGAACAAATATCATTATATTACTAAAGTAGAAGATTATAAGAAAAAACTCTTCACATTTCCAATTAAATATTCTAACAAATCCTCTCAGAGATAAGTAACACATTAACGATTTAATAGTATAATGAAAATAAACTTCTAATTTGTATTGTCTTATAATGAAGGTTTTTTTTAATGATTGAATAATCAAATTTAAGTTTTTTATTTTTGCATAGATAACTACGCAATAAATCAATGCGAGCATTTTTTGCAATTACATTTATTATAAAAAATAATAAATCGAATGCCAATTTGAGCTAACATTGCTTATTAGTGTGTATTTTTATTCAAAGTAAATATTAAACGTATACATTTCGATTTACGGTCAATGTCCTCTTCAGTACTAAAAAATATATTAACAAAATTACAATAATAGCGCATACGAGTATAAACTAATAACATATAAAATGTTAGCATTTTTAAATTATTTTTAATCTTTTGGTCGGTTATTTAAAACAAAAAAATCTTTTTCTTTTTAGTTAAATAACTTAGTAATTCAATGACCAGGATTAACTCGGATATCATCACCATGGTTTTTTTTCGCATTTTATATGCTATTAGTTTATACTCGTATGCGCTATCATGTAATTTTACTATTAATTCTATTGTTTTTACACTCTAGTAAATTAGAGTCTTAGATTAAGAGTCTATTAATTATATTGTTTTTACACTTATTATACTTTAATATTCTTTCCGATGAGCCGTTACGAATAATAGCTGTTGTTGTAATGGCTATTATTGTAACAGAATTTTTTATTTTGCTATAGAATTTTGCATTTTGCTATAGAATTAGAATATTTGAAGTTAATAGAACAAAATTTTCTAACATTAAAATTGTTAGTTTTATATATTAACGATATTTTTCTTTAATAAGAAAATGTAAACAGATATATAATGAAAATATATTATAAGTATATAATAACTGTAATAACTTGATATAAACATATATTATAATAAAGGAGGATACTAGTTAGGATGTAAAGTACTTGCTCAAGATGTAATTTTTTATATTTATTATTTATATTTGTTATATTCTAAACACGACAAAATGTTTTCAATAAAATGTGTCTCTTACTCTCTTTTTTTCTCTCTCTTTCTCTTTTCTCTCTTCACTCATAACCAAAATTTTCATACTTAACTTAATTTATTTAAAATTCGCATTCTTTTACAAAGGTCACACACCAGTTGAGCAAAACTTTTCTATAAACTGAACGGCTGCTCCTACAAATATTTTATTTTTGTGTATGCATACGTATTGTGTAGGAATTGTATTTTAAATAAATTAATAAAATACTAAATATTATATTTTCTAAAAAAGGAGGAAATTTTTTTAATTCAACTGCTTTTTAAGTCAATAGCTCAGCTTCCTATTCTCTCGGAAAAGAAAATTTTACAGTTCGGTGACAGCTGGCAAACATAAAAAAACAGGCAGAGTACTTGTTTCTATAAATCAGATTTAGTAACTATTAATAAATAATATATAATATAAATATTTTAAATTAATGCAACATTTATTAAGAATTTAAGTTTTATACTTTAAATAAACGTCATATATATATTTTTTCGATTTTTCCAATAATATTATTTATAATATATAGTTTTGTAACTCTTATACATTTTCAAACATTTATTATTTATAATCACAATATGAATAGTCAAAAAATATTGATATTCGTAATTATCTCTAGGTCTTCCAGAACTCTTCGATAATTATAAAAATTTGTTTAAAATTGACAACCTCTAATAGTTAGCCTATTTTTTTCAATTGAACTCTATGCGTATAATTTATCTATTCCTTTTTAAGAACAGGAGGAAAAATTAGCGATATAAGAAGTTGAACTCAATTTACCCATGATTCTCAATCATTATAACATTACAGTTCTAAAAAAAAGAAATTAAGCGTGATTGTTTAAAAGTTTATTCTTAAGGGAGCATATACGTCTAAAGGTGGTGAAAAAAATCGATTATTTTAAATATTTGAAGTATAATGTCCTAAAAATATTTTTGTAGATTTATTCGGAGAAAAATAAAAAAGTTTATTAAGAACACAAAATTATAGACGAATAAGTTCGAGCGCATTGAAAACGACAGGTAGGCGCTCCTGCGACAGGACAGTTCAAATTCGCGCAAATTAAAAATCGTTTTCCCTTTATTGTGTTTCTTATAACTAACTATTATCAGACGCTTGTGTAGTTAGATTAAAAGTAGGAATACTTTAAATCGGAGTACGCTTTTTTATTTCGATGAGTAGTTCGATCAAATTAGGTTCAAATTTTAAGCGCTTGTCCATGTGGGACCTCTTTCAGGCATGTGCCTAACAATAATAAAATAATAATTAATTAAACAATTAGTTAGGCAGGCATTTATAGTTAGCTCTTATTTAAAATAAAATGTTATACGGCTCAGTGATTGGTTTAAGATATTTTAAGATTGTATTTAAACGATATTTAAATATAAGAACAGACCTGTACATTAACTGGACTATTGGCTTTCAGATCAGTGGGAATAATACAAGTTAGTAAACATCTACGACCTTTGCTTACCATGCACACAAGTTAGTCATATATCGATTTTTGTTCGAAAGCAAGTGGCACAACGGAAGAAGAAGCCGTATCGGTCAGAGTGCTGACTAAAATTGTCTACTAGAAATAACTTAATATTGAGAATTCTTTCATCAGATCATATTATATCGATCGAAATAATGCAAGAGGGTGAAAATAATAGGAGTTGTCAAGTTGAATATCTAGAAACTCCCGTCAAATTGGAGAATGACAAAAAGGAATATAGGTGAGACAAAAGAAATACCGATTAGTAATATGCACGATTTCGATTAAAATAAGCGTGAAAAATACTATAAAGATAATTTTTTAGAAGAAACATTATAATGTATTTTTTATTGATAAATACAAGAATTAATATTTTTCAAATAATAATATGTACAATATTCTCATTGACGTTTTATTTTATAAATATTTTGTTTGTTGGTCTTTTAAATTTAGAGCCATCAGATTACCAAATGGTTTAGAAGCTTTGCTAATATCCGATGAAATTTCCAAGACAAGCTTTTTTCAACATCAAGCTATGAAAAATGAAATGAAGGTAATTTATGTGCATTTTAGAATATATCTTACATCAATTTTTTTATTTACTTTATTATTAAAATTTATTAAAATTGTAATATATCAAAGACGGGTTTCACAAAAAATATCTATTTTTTCAAGATTGTATTATTAAAAGTTTTGGATTGGAAAAATTGATTTTCTTCACTGTAGAAGAACTTTTTATTAATTAATTTCAATATGTGTTCCTCAATTTTCAACCATTTATGAGTAATTCCATTAATTATGTTTATTTCTCCATTTAATATTCAGCGTGTATTATGCGCGATACGTACATAAATATATTTTTTTAAATAGGTAGCATGTTGCTTATGTGTGAGAACAGGATTTTTTGAAGAGCCACCAGAATTTCGAAGCATATCATTTTTCTTTGAGAGTATGCTTTTGACTGAATTCACTAAACATTGCGAAGTACTAAAATATGATACGTATAAATTTGATATAAAATTTATTTATTTATTTGTATATTAAATTGTTTAAATCATCTTACTCTCTTGCAGAAACATGATTTCAAAAAACTTTTCGATAAACATGGAGGCAGTTATGATTTCTCACTTGATTACGAATATACATTGTTCAAGTTTGATATTCAAAAAAAACACTTTTTATCAGTTCTTATTCCTTTTGCTGAATTTTTCATTAATCCTCTACCGGAAAAAGATGCATTTATGCAGGATCAAAACGATATAAATGAAGGTAGATTATACTCATAGTACTGCTTTTGCAACTTGCAATCTTAAAATATCGTATTTATGCAGAATTTCGGAGAGCTTTAAATTTCGCCAAGAACAGAGTTCCTCAACCACAACTTTCTTCCTTTACACGAACTGATCATCCAATCAACCAGATTATTGAGGATCGTATTATAAAAGAATACGAAAATTTGGGTTACTCGAAATTATATGAAGAGCTACACAAATTCAAAGAGCGCCATTATAGTGCTCGACGCATAAAGCTGGTTATACAGGTAATTTTATTAAAATTATGACAAACAATTAATTACTTTTACAGTATATAGTTTATTTATTTCAAAAACAAGCTTAAAATTTATAACATGATACACTTTTTTATAGGCAAGCTTACCGTTGAATACATTGGAACAATATGTCACAATTGATACGTGTTTTGTTAATATACCAACTAACGAACTATCTCCCGATGACTCTACCGAATTAATAAAAAATAATGTTCCTTTTGATTCCGCCGCTTTTCATAGAATATATAAAATTTCTCCTTCGAAACATGTTGGACAAGTATGTGACTAAAATTTAACCAAGTCGAAAAAAAGTTTATATTTATACTATATGTAAAAGCATAAAATAAAATTTGACTTTTGCAGCTAGAAATAACATGGGTCATGCCTTCGCTATATGCTTTATATAAAAGTAAACCACATAAATATATTTCGTGGCTTATTAGACATGAAGGAAAAGGTTCCCTAATTAGTTATCTACGCAAAAATATGTGGAATATCACCCGTTCTAGTGAAAAAATTTGTCAGAATATAGATACTTTCACGTACAGCGTAATTAAGGTTACTATAGATCTCTCCAATGAAGGAAAACAATGTGTGAAGAAGGTTCTAGATGCGATATTTTCCTATATCAATTTGCTAAAGAAGGAAAGTTTGCAGAAAGAAATTTACGATGAGTTTAGTAAGAGTGAAGAAAATATTTTTAGGTAATTTTAGAAATAAATAGACATATGAAAGATAATTGAAAAAATAAAATATTCGTGAAAAACGTTACTTATACTTGGAGGTCATTTTAGAACTTTTGAGGCAAGGAATCCAAGGAATAATGTGAGCAATTTATCTATGAATTTGCATCAGTATCCATCGCGCGATTATATAACTGGAAGCAAGACTTGTGAATATGATTCAGAAGCTATAACAAAAATTTTGAATTATTTAACACCAGAGACTGCAAATATTATGATTTTTGACAATGACTTTGGCAATCTACAATTAAATAAAATCGATTCATGGTCGAAAGCATTGTATACAGATGTCAAGATACCACACGAATGGCTCGAACACTGGAAATCTGTCGAGCCATTGCCAAATTTTTGTTTACCGGAGCAGAATGTATGGACATTTTCTGAACATTTTTTAGATCCATTGTTTGTAAAAGTTCCAAAATATCCTATAAAATTGTACAGTAATAGTATATCAGAGCTTTGGTATCGCCCAGATCCCAAGTTTCGTTTGCCAAACATGTATACACATTTTATTTCCTCTCTAGGACTTCAGTCACCGGAGAAGTAAGTAATATAGCATAATGTTATTATAATAATACTACATTGTGTAATATTACTGACTCTAAATACATTTATTTCAAAGTTGGAATTATTAATACGACTTCCATAATTTTTTATTTATATCTTTTATTTTTAAAAAACTTTTTTTGTTAATAATATTTCAGTGCCGCTCTCATGACAGTGTACTGCAACATAATACAATTTCTAATGATGGAAGAATTATATCCAGCTTTAGAGAGTGGGTATACCTATGACATCAGTGTTAGTGAGAAAGGAATTATAATAAAAATATCTGGACCTATGCCGATCGTAAGTATATGTATATTCAAAGCATGCGTCAAAGTTACATAGTTTCGAAGTATATTATTTTTATTTTATTTATATTGCAGATATTATTGTTAACCATAATAAAATACATAATATGTCCGGATGTTAAGAAGGAAATGTTTGAAATAATCAGAAATCAACAAGTTCGTATTTATAACGACACATTCACTAAACCTGGGAAACTCGCTGAGTACTGTCTATTTATTATCAAATAATTGCAACAATATTATGAAATTCTTACATAATGTTTTGAAAGAAACTATTAATAAATATTAAATAAAGAATTCATTTTTTGTAAAATACATTATAATAAATTTTATATTTTTTGCCAATTAGACAATAATGAATATATTTTTAATTTTTTTTGCAGGGATGTGAAATTATGGATACTAAAGTTAGTCCATTATACATACGTTGATATGCACAATGCTCTACAAAATGTCAGTTTTGAAGAATTCCGAAATTTTGTAAAATGTTTTACCAATCGTCTATACATTCAGTGTCTCGTGCAAGGTAATATAACGCAGGATGAGGCGATCGAGTCTATGCAACAATGTATTGAAACACTTAAATGTAACTCTTTACATTCTAATATGATGCAACCGAATAGAGTCTTTCAGTTACCCTTGGGTACAAGTTATTACAAATTGAAAAATATCAACAAATATGATTCAACTTCCGTTGTAATAAATACTTATCAAATCGATGTCACGTCAATTGAATTATCAGTGTTAATGAGACTAATATTCGTAAGTATTAAATAACATGGTTTTGTATGGAAGTGTTTATTTATTTATTTTTGAAAGTAAATGAAATATGAGTAACTTCTTAAACTGCGATTAATTTTATCTCCAAATTATATTCATCCGCACATTTTTTCAGATGATAATGGAAAAACAATTGTCACTGAAATTTCAATCAATCCAAGATGATCTTATACAACACACTTCATGCGACTGGACGGATATCGATGGAATTTTAGAATATTCTATTAGTGCCACTCAGTCATTGGCAAATAAATTATACACAACTGAGGACATTAAGAAGTGGATTGATGATTTTCTGGAATTTTTTGGAGAATTTTTGAATGAATTCTCAGAAAATGACTTAGATGATGTTAAGGAAAGAATATTTAAGCAATATGCTGATATGAATATTGAAGAAGAAATTAATAGAAACTGGAATGAGATCATGAAGTGTCAATACATGTTTGACAGACACGAGAGAGAAATACTTGCATTAGATAAAATAAAAATAAACGAACTAAGAGAATGGTTTAATAAGTACACGTGGAACGAAAATTATATGAAACAATTGAGTGTACATATTATAGGAACTCATTCCGACAAAGTGCAGTCCATTGCTTTGGAATACATAATCGACGAACATCAATATAAGAACCCTGAAGAAAAATATATTACTAAAGTAGGACAATATAAGAAAAATCTTTACGTTTATCCAGTAATTGAAGGGTACTCGACTTAGGATGCAGAATAAATGACATTTTTACACAATAATAATGTAAAAAAATAAAATTATAAATAATATAATTATAATTCTGTATAATAATAAGGTCGCGAGAAAAAAAATGTTATATATGGACATATTTTGTACATAAAATATATTAATTTATAATATAATTATGTATGAAATATTTTTTCATGTTGATTTATTGGACGATTAAAGAAATTATACATTTATTTTTAGACAATTTAGGGCACACGCGGAAATTTTTGAATTCTTTTTTTCTCAATTTTGTTTGCTGACCTACATATGTAACAGTAAGAATCATGATAATCATGATTTTAATGAAAAAAGAAATAATTTTTATATTATAAAAACACAAAAATTATCATAATTCGATAAAATTTATTGTTATTTTCTTCAATTAAAACGTGTTCAAAAATTATATTTTCATATTAAAACTATTTTAACCATGACTTTCAAATTTAGCAAATGAACTAAGGAGAATATTTTGTAACTCTTAACGACATAACTGTAGCGTTACAGTATCGTTGCGCAGGTTTTGTACATGATAAAAAACAATAGTTAAAAAGTTACAATTGTTAAAAGTTATAGAATAATCCCCTTAGTTACACTAGTTTAGTTCTTCCTTAATTTTCCCTAAATAAAAAAAAAGAATCGCAGCCTGCTCCTCAAATTGCTACTTATTGTTTCTATATTCTTCTCGCGCGCGATAGTATTATTATAATAACAAATGTAATTTGGAACATTTTGCATTTTCCAACATAGAATATTTAAAATTAATCAAATGAAATCTTCTCACATTAAAATAAGAGTTTATGAAGATTACATATTGACAATTTTAATTATTAACGATAATTGTTCTTTGCATCAATCTTCTTTGCATGAAGAATTATAAACAAATAATAGAAATCATCCCTAAAAAAATATTTCATATATAATTATATACAATCATATAAAATTATATAAAAAATACATATTTTATAACATATAATTATATATAAAATATGTACATATATAGGTATAACATTTTTTCCCCGTGTCATAAATGTAATTAAAGAATAAACACAAATGTAATTAATAATATCATCCTAATCAGGAAGTAAAGACATGCTTGGAATATAATATTTCTTATTTATTTAAATATATTCAAGATATAAAAAGACTTTTCAATAAGTCATTTCTCTCTCTCTCTCTCTCTCTCTCTCTCTCTCTCTTTCTCTACTCATGTTAAGAGCCTTCTTCTTACTAACTGATTATTTCTAACAGTCATAAAAAAGTATGCCCTCCAACAAGCAACACAGATGACATGGTGTGAATGGATCAATACATCCTTATCGTTTTCCAATATTAAAGATGATTACTGTATTGTACTGTGTCTCTTGTTGGAAGGCATACAAAAATGACTGGTCTTGCGCTCGTGTTCGAAAAAAAGGGGGATCGAACAATGTTAAAATTAAAAAAAAGTAATTGGGGAGGAATTTTTAGACATAATGCTCTCTATTACTTTTATATTTAATCGTAGTAAACTTTTAAAAATACTTTGGTGTTTTCTTTAGAGATGCCAAAAAGTTTGCGGATTATCAGCATGTCAGGATTTATTGCTAACGTTCCGTGAATTTTGTTGTTCACTTGCCTTTTGGAATATTCTTTGGAAAATAACAATAATCAATGACTGTCAGAGGAACATACCTGAAATGTGCATACCTGAAATGGTTGGTCCTAACAGGGTTGAACAGTTTTCGAATAGTATTCCATTGAAGTCCCATGGTCCGTGCACTAATGAGACTATGAAGTCGGAAAGCGATTGTTTCCTTCCTTGGTGAAAATAAAAATCGGAGTCGAATGTAATGGGAGAGTAACAGAAGCGTAAACAAAACTTCTGGGAGGCAAAAATTTAAATATCAAAATGTAAAAGAAGTGTAAATGCCTCTTTTACGTTTTATTGTTTCAATTTTCGTCTTCTAGAAGTTTCGTTTACGCTCCTGTTACTCATCCATTACATCCAATTTATACGCTCCGATTTTTATTTTCTGATGAAATGATGAACATAACCCGATGGTTATGTAGATCCTTCTTAAAAACAAAGGTCATCAGATTTATTTAGAGGTTCCTTTCCAAAACCGGAGGTGAGCATATGAGTGATAAAAAGATTCTTTTTTTTATTTCCATAATAACTATATTTTTTTTAACTATTTATACTATTTTAACATTAAACTGCGAATACACAATTACGGAATTTATTATAATTATGACTCCGCGCTAAATGTAGTTTCTAAACTAAAAAAAAAGGATATCAAAATTTACAGCGATCGGAAAATTTAGAAAAACCGAAAACACCGTAATCTTCGGCAATAAATCTGAAAATTGGCAACCGTGGTTGAGATAACTGAAACGTTTAGGATCTTGGCATACAGAGATGCAGGTCAAAATTAGTTCTATTCACATTTCTAGAACGTGTCGCACACGTAGGACCTCTTACAAAAATATGCCTAGCAATAAAATAATAATAAATTAAACAATAATCAATTAGGCAGGCATTTACAGTTGCTTCTTATTTAGTGTATTATTGTATGTGTATTACTGTATGTGTATTACTGTAGTGTATTACTGTATTTTAAATGATACATTAAGATTGTATCTAAACAACATTAATGTAAGAACAGATCGGTCGTACATTGGCTTTCTAGATCACTAGGAATAATAGAAGTAAGTAAACAACTACGACCTTTGCTTACAATTTATACAAGTTCTTAATCGTATATTAATCTTCGTTCAACAGCAAGCGTTATAACGAAAAAAGAACGTGTATTGATTAGAATGTTGATTAAAATCGCGCAAAGTTACTACTGAAAAAAAAAGTAGAAAAATCTTGTTATAAATTATCTAAATTGTACCGATCGACATAATGTCCATTCTAATTTCCTCGTGTCCAGATGTAATAGTGAGGCCGGTCAAGGATATAATTAAAAATCAGTGTTATAATGTTGAATATCTGGAAACACCCATCAAATCGGAGAATGACAAAAAAGAATATAGGTGAGATAAAAACGAATACTCAGCAATAAGCACAATTTTTATCGAAATTTGCGTGAAAAATATGAGACTAATTTTGGTAGGAAAGTTATGCATTTTCTTCAAAGAAAGATTTAATTTTTAAAAAATAATAAACAATATATATTATATACATTACCTTCATTAACTTTATTATTATTTATATATTTTGTCTTTCAAATTTAGAGCCATCAGATTAATAAACGGTTTAGAAATTTTGTTAATATCCAATGCACAAGCAGAAACATGCACTTCTTATAGTCAAGATAAGAACGACGAAAAGAAGGTATGAGACAATTTAATTTGTATTTTAAAATGTATTTTATATGATTTATTTTTTGTTTAATCTGTTATTATTAAGAATATATAAAAACTGTAATATTAAAGATAGACTTATAAAATTATTTAAAAAATCTTCTCAAGAGAGCTAATTATGTTGTTAGAAGTTTTAGTTTGAGAAACTTGATCTCTTTTATTATCAGCACTAGAATAGTTTCTCCATAAATCGATTTTGAAACGCGTTGCTTATTTTTAAATTATTTACAAGTTATTCCAATGATTATATCTATTTAACACTCTGTGTGTAATGCACGACGTGTATATATATATATATATTTTTTTTTTTTTTTTAACAGGCAACATGTGGTTTATCTGTAGGAGTAGGAACTTTCAGCGATCCACCAGAAATTCCAGGCATAGCAATTTTCTTCGACTATATGCTTTTCAAAGGAATTGATCAACATTCACAAGTACTAAAACATGATGCGTAAATGTACTACAAAAGTTCTTTATCCGTATATTTAAATGTAAGTCTCATCTTATTTGCAGAAATGTAATTTTCAAACATTTATCGAAAACTATGGTGGCTGTAGTAATACCATAGTCGATTACGAACATACAACATTTCACTTTGATATCCAAGAGAAAATCTTGTTTCAAGCTCTCTGCCATTTGGCTCAATTTTGCTTTAAACCATTGTGGAATATAGATGCTTTTATACACAAATCAACGGAGTTAAAAGAAGGTACATAAATTATAATCGTAATATTGTATTATCGTAGTTGTGTTGTCGCAACTTACAGTCTTGACATGCCATGCTCATACAGAGTTTCAGAGGGCTTTAAATTTTATCAAACATCGAGAGGATCGACTGCTTTCTTCCTTTGCGGAAACTGGTCATCCAGCTAACAAGTTTACTATGGACCATTTAGTAAAATTGCAGAACAACAAGAATATAAACATAAAGAAATTGTATGAAGTGTTGCAAAAATTTGCAAAGCGCCATTACAGTGCTCACAGAATGAAGCTGGTTATACAGGTAACTTTGTTAAAATTGAACTTTATTAAAGGTTAACAAAAATCATATATTACTTATGATATATAGTTTATCTGTTTCAAAAATATAATGAATTTATAACATATGTCTTTTTATAGTCAGGAATACCGCTGAACACATTAGAAGATTTTATCTTAACTTCGACATACTTTAAAGATGTACCAACTAATTGGCTGCCTCCCGATGATTTCTCCAAATTTAAAAATAACCTTTTTTTTGCTACTCCCGCTTTTCGAAAAATGTATAAAGTTAATGTTCCTTTGAAAGACAGAGAAGTATGTGATTACAATTTAAACAAATCGAAAAACGCTATATTTGCACTAAGTCTAAATATATAAATGAACGTATAAAATAAAAAATTGTTTTTTGCAGTTAGTCATAACATGGGTAATACCTCCACTACTTCATTTATATAAAAGTAAACCACATAAATATATCTTTCAAATTATTCAACATGAAGGACAAGGCTCTTTAATTAGCTATCTACGCAAAAATATGTGGAGTTGTATAAATTCCATGAATACACTTCAATGTAAAATTAAATATTACTCTACGCACAGTTTAATAAAGCTCATTGTAAATCTCTCCTGTAAAGGGCAACAACATCTGAAAAAGGTTCTAGATGCAATATTTTCCTTTATCAATTTAATAAAAAAAGAGGGTCCACAAAAAAGATTTTACGATGAATTTTGTAAGAGCGAACAAATGTCTTTTAGGTAAATTAATTTTAGAAACAAATAGATAAATAAATAAACATTTGTTGAAAGAAAAAAAACTTAGAAAATATTCATGAAACACCATTTACACTTTTTTTTAGATTTGTCGATGAAGAGAATCCAGTGAATTATGTGAAAAACTTGTGTATAAAAATGCATTTATATCCATCATGCCATTATTTAACCGGGAACAAACTGTATTTCGAATATAACCCAGAAGATATACAAAAATGTTTAAATTATTTGGTACCAGAGACCGCGAATATTATGCTTTTTGACGAGAATTTCGCGGATCTCGAATTAAATGAAGTCGAACAATGGTCGAATACGAAGTACACAGACATCGAGATACCAAAGGAATGGATCAAACACTGGAAATCCATCAAGCCATTGCGAGAGTTTTATTTACCATATCCAAATCCATTTCTTCCTAAGGACTTCACTTCAATAGTAGTTTCAACGAAAGTTTCAAAATATCTTGTAAAATTGTACAGTAATAGAATATCGGAGGTTTGGTATCGCGCGGATACTAAGTTATCGAAATGTTACTTCAACTTACATTTGGTCTCTCCTTTGATACTTCAATCATCGAAGTAGTAAGTAATCACATAAAAAATATAATAATACAACTACATAACAGTTAGATTACTACTATACTAAATACTATACTTAATGTTAATAACATTTTAGTGCAGTTCTTATGGATATGTATTGCAAAATATTGAAATTTCTGTTAACGGACCAATTATATCCAGCTACAACAGTTGGGATTGATTATAAGATTATTGCCACTGAGAAAGGTTTTGTAATAAAAATATATGGGTTTAGCGAAAAAATACCAGTAAGTATTTGTTCAAAGCGTGCGTTAAGAGTTATAAACATAAAATTTCAAGGTATATTTATATTTCAGCTCTTGCTGGACATTATTGCGCAACACATCAGAGTCTATCCAACAGTTACGAAGAACTTGTTTAAAACTCTCAAAAAGCATCAAATTGAAACCTATTACAATACGTTTAGTAAATCTTGGAATCTTGTCGAGTATATATATATATATATATTGGCAGTTTATATTATTATTAAGCATAATCGCAACAATCCCATATAACACTTTGTGCAAAAGCAAACCAGTATAATCCGTTTACTAGTAATTCCTTTACTGCAAGTTTGATCAAAATCGATGAAGAGCAGAGCGTAGCCTCTCCTTGTCAGTTTCACTATTTTTTTTTGCTTGCAATATTATTGAGTGAGAATTTATCTTGTTAGCAATGTGATTGCAACATACATTAACAAATCATCAAAATACTGACCAAATGTGTTATCTGGAATTATAAAATTCTTAAGTGGAAACAATAATTAATGATACTTATTAATTATTACTTATTATTATATTATATCATTAATTATTAAGATTACCAAATAGGAAAAAATCAAATTTGAAAAAAATTGAATCCAAATTTTATTTCGCTCAGAATTGTACTATCTTTTGAAATTGTACTGTCTTACTCTACACCTTGAAACTTTTTTGCAGGGACATGAGATTATGGATATTGAAGTACATCCATTATACATACCTCGATAAGTACGCTGCACTATATACTACCTATTTCGAAGATCTTCAATCCTTTGTACATTACTTTACTAAGCATCTGTATGTTCAGTGCCTCGTGCAAGGCAACATGACGAAGAATACTGCGTACAACACTGTATGGAAATTTCTTAGAATAATTGATTGTAAGCCTTTGTACCCTAATATGATGCCCGATATAAGAATTAATCAGATAAAGCTAGACACAACCTGTTGGATGTCAAAAAGTTACAAAAGATTAGATTTTGGAGAATTTCCATCACCTTCCGTAGTGAGATGTTATTATCAAGTTGGTGTCATGTCGATTAAATTGTCGTTGATAATCGAACTGATAGCGGTAAGTACTAATTAACATTATATATTTTGAATATATGGTATTATCGGTTTATACTTGTTTGTATTAAAAATTAAATGCAATTTGAATATCATCTTTGATTATTGTGATTAATTTTATCCATACATTATATCAAATCCGCATTTATTTCAGTTAATAATGAAAGTACCGTTATTCGAAAAATTAATGCAAGAATTTGGAAAACAGTTAGATAGTACTGAGTGCTTTCTTAAAAATGACAACGGAATTTTAGGACTTTACATTGTTGCTGATATTTATACAAGTAAATACCTTAAAACCATGCAGGCGGAACAGTACATTGACGAATTTCTCGAATTGTTTAATAAGATTTTGGAAGGGATGTCAGAAGAAGATTTGGATCGTATCAAGGAGAAAAGAAAATCATCGAAGCCAAGGACATCATATGCCGATAACAATCTTGAAAGAGAATTTGAAAGAAATTGGAATGAGATCATGGAGTGCAAATACATGTTTGACAGATGCGAGAAAGAAGAGCTTGCATTAAAGGAGATAAAAATCAACGATTTGAAAGAATGTTTTGCAAAGTATATATTAGATAAAAGTAATATCAGAAAATTGAGCTTACATGTGACAGAAAATGATTCAGAGGATGTCGGGGAAAAAAATGGTGAGTTGATAATTTAATTTTATAATCAAATGATCTTGATGGATGTCAATTTGTTTTCTGATTTTATGACATTATTTGCCTTTCATTTTTTTGTTATCAAATTATTCTTAAAGTTACAGAGACAATTATAATTTTTTAAAATTTATTGTTATAGATAGTGTAAAGGATCGCGAGAGAAAATTGCGTATTGAAAAAGATATAATCGGTAACCAACTATATCTACAGGTACAAAGTTACAAAAAAAAGCTCTACCTTTTTCCTATAAATTCAGAATGCCCTTAAAATACCCTAAATACTGAGAATGATACTTCAATAATAATATAATGAAAATAAAATGTTTAGATGTATGGTGCGGACTTGCGCGTTTATTTAGAGTCGAAATCAATTATGTCTCCTGATTGAAAACTGTTTTATGATATCACAACACATTTATTTGTGAAAATATTAATTATGATGTATTCATAAGGAGTTTGTTTATTTTTCTTTTTATTTAATAATAATTAAATTTAACATTAATTTGTGCATATCAATAATACAATGAGGCACTAAAATTAGCTTCTTATATAATTCTTTATATTTATAATTGTTTCTCTATTTCTTCCAAAGCCATATTAATTTAATAATATCGTTAAAAATATTTTATATGTGAAATTCGAAACTAATAAAGGAACATATGTTATATTATAGTAAAAATCTGTGATCTTTCTTTATAGCGAAATCGGTTGGACGCACTAGTGTGCACTGATATATATATATATACATATATATAAATACATATATATAAATGTACATATATATATAATATATATGTACATTGATTTAATCTTTGTAAAAGTAAAATATTTTGAATTATAAAATATATATGTTATAACAGCACAATAAAATATATAGAGGATTTCACGGTACAATTCGTTTTTATATTTACATTAAACATAAACTTATTTTTACATCAGTTGGAGAACAACAACTTTAACGTGCACTAGTACGCATTGAATGCATCCAGTTGAATTCGCGATTATTAATCACTTAGTGTTCGAAAATATTGATACAATTATCAATTCGCAGATATATTTTTAACATAGACACGTCTCTCAATCCGTTTTTTCTATTGTCCGAATATCGTTCACATCGATACTCGCGTAAAGGTTTAATTAAATTTTTTCTCAACTAATATTTTAGTTTTAATGAAAAAAATAGACAACAATTTTTAAATACAATACTCTATGTTAGTTATATTATGAGAAACATTTCACATTTGAATTACAATAGATAACAAATTTTTAAAAATCATCATTGTAACATGGAGATGAGACGAGTCTTAGAAATGTATTATATTATCTATTGTAACTCAAATATGAGATGTTTTTTATAATATGTTAATATAATTAGTTTTTTATAATATGTTAATATAATTATTGGGTATTTATGTATTTCTGCGGCTGATGAGGACTAAATATAGTTGAAACATATTGTCGGAAAATTATAATTTGTGATTAATAAATATTATTTAGTACATCTAACTATAATTCGTTTAATGACTTGGGTTTTACTATTTATTAATTTGTTGTAAGTTATTCGAGTAAAAAGAATTGATATTATTTATATTGTAATATGCATTGATAATCTTAAACCGGAGCACAATTTTCAATCTAGATCGGTTAGTAGTTCGATCGAATTGGATTTAAATTACTAAGGCGAATCGCACGTGTAAAATATCTTTCACGTATATGGACGATAATAAGTTATTAATTAAGTTAAATTAAATCCTATCATTATATAGACAGTTCTTATTTCAATATCATTTTAAGTTAATTTTTTAAGATGTAGCCGATACAATTCTGCGATTGGTTTATGAGACATTTTGAAATTGTATTGTTGATCGAGACAATTTTAAAAATAAAATTTCTCTATTAATACTGGCCATATATCACAGGGTAAATATCACAATTAAATAAGTAAACATATATACGACCTACGACATTGCTTTTATTTGCTACACTTTTTTTGCTTACAATATATACATATACGATATATCTTTATTCAAGTGCCACAAAGCAAGGAAAAAGTATCTTTTACAGTACCGATTATAATATTGTGCTAAGTTTATTAAAAAGGGATAAAAAACGCAAAATCTTTTTCTTCTCGAATTACTCTATTGATCGACTTAGTTTTTTCTAATTCTTTTTTCTAATTTTTTCTATTCTGATTTTCTACACATTAATGTAATGTCAGAGATGGAGTTTATAGTTGAAAACGAAGAGCGAAATCGAGTTGAATATTTGGAGCTACCCTTTAAATCGCAGAACGACAACAAAGAATATAGGTGAGACGAGAACAAATATTCAGTGATTCGATTTCAATCGAAATACGTAACAAATATTGATATGGCAAACTTTTAAAAACGTTACAATGCATCTTTTATAAGAAAGGAAAAATTAGATTTTTTTATAAGATCAAAATTTCTCCGTTAACGTTTTAATTTTTTTATTATTTATTTTATCTTTTAAATTTAGAGTCATCCGATTACCGAACGGTTTCACAGCGTTGCTAATATCCGATAAACATTCAAAAACATGTGCTTCCCAAGATCCAGATAAAGAAGATAAAGAAATGGTACAAACAAGACAGTCTATAATTTATTTTAAGATTTATATCAAGTCTAAGTTTTTCTTTTACTTTATCTATCATAAAAAAAATTCATTAGAATTGCAATAGTGAAGTTAGACCTACAGAATCACGAAAAGTATCTTTCTTTTTAAAATCTAAGAGTATTATGATACTTATGAGGAATTTAAAAATGCTTAAAGTTTGATTTCCTAAGCTATACGTGGAAGAGTTTCAATAGATTCATTTCGAAATATGTAATACAATTAAAATTATGATCACATTCCATTGATGTACTTATTCCTCCATTTTATCCTGTATATAACACGTGATATGTATTTTTAAACAGGCACACTGTAGCTTATGTGTAGGGGTAGGCTGTTTCAGCAATCCATTGACAAATCCAGGCATAGCATACTACTTTGAGAAAATATTAGATTATATGGGATTCAAAAATTTAGAAATATTACCATATAGCGTATGATTTCATAAAATTCATTTATTGTTATATTTGTGTATAGTATGTATAAGTATTATCTTATTTGCAGAATAATAATTCTGATAATAATTTCGACGCATTTATTAATAAGTATGGTGGCTTCACTTATGCCTCAACGGAATGCGAGAATACAACATTTTATTTTCGAATAAAAAAGAAGTATTTGTTATTAGCTCTTGATTGTTTGGCTGCAATTTTAAATAATCCTTTAAAGAATGATAACTTTAAACAATGGCGAGCGGAGGTAGAAGCAGGTATACATAATTCATAATCGTAATGCCATCGGCACAATTTATAAACTCACATAATGATATATTCATATGCTATTGTTTATGTACTTACATTATACTTACGTACGATTTTTATGTAGAACTACAAGTCACTCCAAAGTCTTATAAGAATAAAATGGAACAATTGTTCTCTTCTTTTGCGCTGGTAGATCATCCAGCTAATAAATTTCCTAAAGATAGTTTTATGACATTATACCATAGTATATGTGACAACATATTGTTCGAAGAAATAGTTAAATTCAGGGCACGCCATTACAGTGCTCACAGAATAACATTTGTTGTACAGGTGATTTCGTTTAAATTGTAACAAGAATCATTAAATATTAATCATTAAATATTAATCAAATATATTTAAGTCATAATATATAATACGTTTTTTACAGGCAAATTTACCACTGGATACATTGGAAAATAATGTTACTAAGTACTTTTTTAACGTACCAAATAATGGGCTGCCTCCCGATGACTTTACCGAATTTAAAGACGGTGTTTCTTTTGCTACTTCATATTTTCGAAATATGTATAAAGTTAGCAATATCTATAATTTCAACCGAGTATGTGAACAAAACTAAATTTCAATAACTAAATTTCAATATTATGCTAAATAGATGCATAGAAATATCTGTAAAGCAAAAATTGTCTCTTGTAGCTAGAAGTGACGTGGCCAATGCCCTCGCGTTTCGATTTCTACAAAAGTAAACCACATCAATATATCTCATGGATTCTTGAGCATAAAGGAAAAGGTTCTTTAACTAGTTATCTACGCAATAAATGGAATTGCGAAATAACATGTAACAATGAAAGCAGTTTTATGCATACCTCCATGTATACATTACTAAATCTTACGATAACTTTCTCCCATGAGCAAATACAACACGTAGAGGACTTCTTAAATGCGATCTTTTCCTTCATCAATTTATTAAAGAGAGAAGGTCCGCAGAAAAGAATTTGTGATGAGATTTATAAGATTATGGAAAATAATTTTAGGTAAACAATATTAAATCTTAGATAGATAGAATCTAATTTTAGAAATATCTAGATATATGAAGAATGATTGAGAAAGAGAAAATGTACATATGAATACTTAGATTTGGGAATTATTTTAGATTTTCTGCTGAAGAAAATAATAAAGAGTTTGATATAATGGACAAATTGATGGATTTGTCCAGAAATATGCATTTCTATCCGTCGCGCAATTATATAATCGGAAGTAAACTTTATTTTGAATACAATACAGCAGATATACAAAAATGTTTAAATTATTTGACGCCAGAGACCGTGAATATTATTCTTTTTTACTACAACGATTGTCTTAAAGTCGGACAATGGTCGGAAGCGGAGTACACAAAGATCCAAATATCAAGGGAATGCATCGAACACTGGAAATCAATTAAGCCCTTGCCAAATTTTCATTTACCATTGTTAAATATATTCCTTCCCAGCGATTTTTCTTTAATATCAATACCAGCAAAAGTTTCAAAATATCCTGTAAAATTATTCAGTAAAAGTACATTGGAGCTTTGGTATCGTCCGTATTCCAAGATTTGTTTGCCAAAATGCTACATGTATTTTCATTTTATTTCCTCTCTGGGATTTCTGTCGCTAAAGAAGTAAGCATAAAAAGTGTAACATTGTAATATAGTGTTACTATATTGTACTACTATAATATTATTATACAATAATTTTTTAGCTTATAACTACGAATACTATAATTTTTATACAATTATTTATATTTTATTTTTAAATACATTAATATTAATGAAATATCAGTGCAGTTCTAATGGATATGTACTGTGATATATTATCGTTTCTATTGGCCGAAGAATTATATCCAGCCAAAGCAGCGGGGATTGATTGTGAGATAGGTGTCACTGAGAAGGGTATTACAATAAAAATGTACGGATTTAACGAAAAAATGCCAGTAAGTATATGTTCAAAGTGGTGGAATTATATATTAAGATATATTATTGTAAATGCTTGTATTACAGCTCTTGTTGAAAATTATTGCGGAATACATGGCAGTTCACTATCTATCTAGTATTACGGAAGATTTATTTGAAATGATTAAAATACAACGACTCATGATGTATTACAATATATTTACAAATCCTGTGAAACTAGTCAGGTATTGGCTATTTATTATCGGCATAATTACAAAATTATAAAATAACATAATTAAGCATCGGAGAAAGTCACCGGTCTCTTAGAGGAATCCCTATCTCGGAAATTGTTTGTATTCAAAATTAATTAAAAACGAGTATTACAAATGCGAAAATAAAATTTTTGCTATCTTCTTTTGTAAATTGCATAGTTTAAATAATAGTCGTTATATTATATTTATAATATTACATTGTTTTACATGTTTGTGATTTCTTAAATAAGTTTTATTTGTATTTTCTTCATATTTTTTTTCTAACGCATGGTTTTTAAATATAAAATTGGTGTACAGCATAAATCAGTACACCTGCCATCTCTACATCGTTACGTTATAATGTCAAATAGATCTATTGAGCTGAAAGCTATCGGTGTAATAGGAAGACTTTTGCAAAAAGGAAACTGCGCGTTTTATATATTTGCGTCTTACAGAACAGCATAAAATATGTATATAAATCAATAAAGAAAAATTTTATACCAAAGTGAAAAGATTTTAGAAAAACTTATATGTGCATATTCATTCATAAGTATTTTGTACAAATGACTTGTATGAAAGAAAAAAGGATAGAAATAGGTATTATTGTTTATTGTGTAAGTTCCGGGACCCATTTTGTCAAACGCTTTTTTTTGTTTACTTTAATAAAAAGTTAATTATAGCAAAATTGCAAACAGAATTGTAAAAACTTGTATGTTATTTGATAGAAGATACTTCATAGGTTGTATTTATGTTTCTAAAGTTTTATTTCTGATTTCTGTTTGAGAAAAAATACTCAAAAAACAAAGTATTACGTCGGTATCGGTACCTTCCTCTAACTTGAAACAATTAAAAAATTCTTACATAAAAAAATAATTAATAAGAATTAATAAATATTAAATATAATAATATTGTAAAATATATTAAATCATTTATCGACTAATCAATAACGTATGTATTTGTATTCTTTTTGCAGCCAAGTAAAATTAACGATACTTAAGCTCGTTCATTATTCGGACGTTGATAAATACGCTGCTCTACTTCAAATTAATTTCAAAATATTTAAAGACTTTGTAAAATCTTTTACTGAACATCTATATATTCAATGCCTCATACAAGGCAACATGACGGAAGATGCTGCAATCGGGAATGTAAGACAATTTCTCCAAACATTTAAACCTAATCCATTGATAAATAATACGTTGCTACAAATGAGAGTGACTCAGATACCCTTGGGCACAAACTATTGCAAGTTGGAAATTACCAACAAATCTGATTCAAAATTAGTAGTAGTGACAAATTATTATCAAGCTGATGTTACGTCGATTAAATTATCGGTGTTAATCGAACTGATAATTGTAAGTATTAAATAACATTGTTTGGAATATTTTGAATACACGTAATCACTGATTTACGTTCATATTTAAAAGAGAATGAAATACGCGAATCATTTTGATTATTAGTGATTTTACCCTTTTTTTCAGTACATGATGGAAGATTTGTTACACATCGTGCTAGATGATGAGAATTATCTAGAGTTTGAATATGTTATATGCGAAATTGAAAATGTTAATGGAATATTAGGGTATTTCATTACCATTTGTACTCAGACAGATAAATATACAATCGAGTATGTGGATCAAAGTATAGAGAAATGTCTCACATCGTTTAAGAATATTTTGAATGAGATCTCAGAAGAGGAATTTGATAATTATAAGGAATCGATAAAGAAAAATTGGGATACACACGATGTTAACCACGAAGTTGCCAGAAATTGGAATGAAATCACAAAGTTTGAGTACATGTTTGATAGATTTGAGAAGAAAAAGCTTGCACTAGAAAACATAAAAGTCGATGAAATAAGAAAATGGTTTGAAGAGCACACATTAAATGGAAAAAGTTTTAGAAAATTGAGTATACAAATGGCAGATACTGCTTCGCAGAAAAAAGAAGACGATAAAGCAAGTAGTGAGTAGATAACTTTTTTCATGTCTTGATAAAATTTTATCGATATATATATATTTATTATCTGATATTATGACATATTATTTATTATATGATATTATTTATATGATATTTTTGCCTTTATTTTTTTGTTTTTGAATTGTCCTTAAAATTGCTAAGACAATTAAAATTTCAATAATTAATTATTATAGACAGCGCAAACAAAATGCAGTACCTTGCTTTGAATTACATGATCAACGATCAGCAGTATCAGACCGTGGAAGATTACAAGAAAAAACTCTACACCTATCCAATAAGCGAGGGATTTCCTTTTAAAGCGCTAAATAAGTAATACTACTATAATAATATAATGGATATAAAACGCTAATTATAAAACATTAAAAAACGGCCTTGATTTGCGCAGTTTCTTTAGTGTTGAGACATGACCGTCCCCTGATTATGAATTATGACTGTATTATAATAATGATTCTTTCATTTATTATATGTACAATTTAATATCAAAATCTTCACGTAATAATAACAATACAATGAGGCTTTTTAATTAGCTTTTCAATCCTTTATATTTATTGCCATTATCTTTTTCCTTTTTATAAGGTATACCTATTATTATAATGTTTAATATCATTAGGAACACTTTGCACGTTGCAACATGGAACATTTAAATAAACTGAGAAGGTATATTAGGCTTTAATATTATATAATAAATCAGTAAAATAAAATTCAAGTCCGACAACCATATTAGCACGCAATTATAATTTTTGAAATTAATTCATTTAAATGAATATAAATATATAATAGTTCAACATATCTTAACATTCAGACCGTAGTGGCGTATTTAAAGTAATGTATCTAAGATAAAATTGAACTGCACTTTGAAGAGTCAAGCGTAGTTGAAATGTAAAATAATATCTTTCTATTATAAATTTAAAATAAAAGAACGCGTTTCGACCTTTGATTTGATGAAGGGCCATTATTTTACCATTTAGTGACAAAAATTGATACTGGCAGGCTATCATTTTACTTCAAGCAATTTGTTCTCTTTTATTTGAAATAATTAAACTAACGAAAGTACAAATACATCAACTGGCAATGAGTAGTTGCAAATATTTTAGAATCAGATGTAATATTAACTTAACCTGCTAAAATGCGTACGTTACAAGAAACAATAAAATTATTAAATTTGAAATTACGTGAAAATAAATTACAAAAGTAAAGTTGAAATAATAAATAGCAAATTACAGATAAAAGTAAGAAAGAGCAAATTTAGACATGTAGATGTGACCCGCCTCCACGTTGATAATATAATAAAGAGTAAATGAAAAGAATCGAATGTAATAAATCTCCTCTTTTATGTTAGAAACGTATCCACAAAAAGAAAATCATTCAAGGGAATCTCATAATTTTTCGTATAATTATTAATAATTTTGATAAAACAAATGAAGAACCTTACTATATCGCACCGCAGATTTAATAATTTGTGTAAAAAATTCTTTGAAGGCTGAAGAAAGAATAAATAAATATTAAATATAACAATCGTAAAATACAATATATTATATCAGATTACATTTTGATTGATTAATTCGGTTGATAACCAGCTTTCTACTTTATGAGAAAATTATCGACTTCATACCTAATTGGATTATAACGTGCGTGCAATCGATAATTTTCTCATAGAGTAAAAAGCTGATTCAACGACTCTAGTTCACCCTGTATATATACACCATTTATGATCAACAGTCGATTTATCACGGAAGATAAACATGTCATGTGATGACGTAGTTCTACATCCGCATTTTAGGAACGTAGATGGCGTTAGACGTAGATGACGTTTTATTGCAAAAACGCAAGCAGTTTTCTTCTCTTTCTGATTTTGACAAATCGTCATTTATTGTGTTGACTAGTGTTGACGTTCCGCTTGAGTTTGGAAAATTGTGTCATTCCAATTAACGATGGACGCAGCAACGTCGAGTGCATCGCAATCCGCGACGACGAAATATGGGGAAATGCTGAAGCGACTCAAAGATCTCCACGCCAAGAGGGTAAGAGAAGTTTTAGAATGTAAATGTAACCTATCTGAGACATTCTATTCATGTCTGAGATATTCATTCCGACATTTTAAACTGCTTATTTCTTCCTTTTATTTACATGAATAATTGTTTTTTTAAGTAATTAAGAGTTCTTGTTATTGGAATTTATTGTCGTGATTTGTCTATAGCATATTGATTTAACAGAATGAGGCCAGAATGCAGAATCACAAGGAAGTGGTAGAGGAGGACAAGAGAAACAAATTGCCTACCAATTGGGAAGCCCGCAAAAGACAGGCCGAATGGATAATGCAAGACGAAGCTGCTAGAAATGAGGCAGAAGCTAAGGTATCATGATTAATCAGATTTTCCATTTTCTACAAATTATGCAAAATTATTTATCTATTTAACTTATTCTTCAGGGTGAAGACTATGAACGGAAAAAATTATTGAATATTGATGCTACTGAAGCAGAAAGAATTGCTAGAAAGAAGAAAAGCAAACAGAATCCTGATCCAGGTTTCTCGGATTACGAACAAGCGGCGATACGTTCTTATAATAGATTGGTGAAAAATATTAAACCGAATATGGAGACATACGAAGAAGCAAAGGAGAAATTAGGCCCTGCTTTTTATGGTGATCCAAATACAATATTACACGGTTTACACGAAGACAAAAAGGAAGCAGTAGATAAAATGGTCACCAATCTAGAGAAGCAGTAAGTAACATTTACAGGCCTGTAATGAAATTATGTGATCTTTGATAAGTCTCGAATTTGATGAAGTTACCTTGTTTTTCTTTTTGCAGGATCGCAAAACGGGAGAAATACAGCAGGCGTAGAATGCACAATGATGACGCGGATATTGATTATATCAACGAACGTAACGCCAGATTCAATCAGAAACTGGAGAGATTCTACGGCGAGTATACGCGGGAAACGAAATTAAACTTGGAAAGGGGTACGGCTATATAAGAAAAAACCGATGGTGTAATTATCACAAATACTTGTATTTTATGTATTATACGATGACTTTTTATATAAATAAGAATCTGGAGAAAAGAATTTTACGGTATTTAATCGAATGTATAATACCTTTTGTTGCTCTTATTGGCGATGCATCTATAATTATTCTGCTATACACGAAATTCTAAAGATGCGTAGAAATTGTTTCGAGAAGACATAAATCGCCAAAAAAAAACCGGATAAACTATTTAACGATTCTAATAACTCGTGATGTATACTAATCATAAATAAAAAATTAAGTTAAATTATTACATTAGTCACCATATGTGTTCTATTACAATCGCTTAGTCCCTACAAAATTTATTTAATTTAATTTTTTTTATACGTATGTACAGTTTTTTTTATAAACTTCTAATTCAGTTCGCATCATACCACCCAACTGTGTACTATATCTGGAAAAGTAATACGTCACGATTATTTTTGCAGACAGTGTAAATAATTATTACATTTGCAAAATATTAATCTCATTTGAATGAAAGTGTCAATATGAAATACTTACGCCGTGGCGAAAAATTATGGTGATGGGTTACTCGTATATGAATATCTTGCGTCTCCCCTGAAAATGTCAGGACTATAAACATTGTTGCAAAATTAAGTAAAACAATATTATGTATAAATTCACGATGCATAAATTCCTTTCCTTACCTCAAGTTAGACTTAAAGATGTATTTCGCCGAAAAAAAATATATATATCAATGCGGTATCAATGTTGTTAATAGCTTAAAAACATATAAAAAAGTATAGCTTGTAAATGAAACGTTAATTTATACAAATAAGTGCAATTAAAATCAGCAAACGCACACACGTCTTAAACAAACAAACGAGAACAGAGTCCGTAACTCTCTTCTCTTTTATTATGTTTTATTAACATGATTAATGTAACTAATCATAATTAAATACACAGGTTTTAACATTGTTATAAGAGCATATGGTCACACTTTGTTAAAGTTTTTTTTTTTTTAATATAATAGAATAAAAAATATATCACTTTCATTTTAGCGCTTCATGGTATTCTCAAAATCCAATCGATTAGTGTAATCGCAGGAGACGATCTTCACGAGTTTCCACAAAGATATATCAAAAGTCGGCATGCTGTTAGGCAAGTTATTTTATTTCATGTGATGTGGAATAACGTTCAGAACGGTTCACTATCACTACGATGACAATGAGGTCGGCGGCAACTCCCTCGTCGGTTTGCCGGAGCTTATACCTGCACTGCTGCGGTTCAACAGTCTCGGCATGTCGCACTCCTCACACTTGTTCATCAATGGATGATTATCGAAAGTGCACATAGTGCAGACCCACGAAGGCTCATCCCGTTCCTCCCGGTCGTTGTCACTCGTCGGCTGCTCCGATCGCCATACCGGTGGTTGACTCGGTAAACGCGGCGGTTGTGAATTCGGCGATCTCGTCGGCAACGACTGGCCGGTATAAATGCCCTGATAAAACTCCTCATTCGTCTCGCCCAATGGCACTGAAAAGTATAAATTAAAATGTTTGAAGGTGGCTAAACAATTACAAAATATAAATAATGAAGAGCATACAGCAGCAACAATAGATGTTAACGCAAGTCATATATTTAAAATTCACAAATAAATAAATAGACATAAATAGACGTTTCGGTCAAGATTTGATCATCATCAGTACAAATAAGATAACAATAAATAAAAATCTTACAAAATAGATTCTAATTAAGCAAAAAACGCTACTTCGAAGGTGTTACAATAATATCAAATTAAAATTACATAAAAAATTACTGAAAAGAAATTACACAAAATTAAAAACTCAATGCTCGCAAGTTTCTAGATAGTGAAATAATTTTTTCTCGCTTGTGATATGAGTTTACAACGTCAATAGAAATCAAGAGCAATAACGTGATAAGATACCTCGTCTGTCTGACCATTGATCGACTTCTATGGCCAATCTGTCGCATTCGACCTGTAGCATATATATTTCGGTCTTCAGCTTTCTTTTCAGCTCCTGCAAAAATCGCGCATTGAAAATACAAAAAAAAAGATGAAACGTATAAAAAAATGATCAATTATCGTTTCATGCAATTGTACGTACTTGAGGTGATATCAAGGGATCCGGTCGGGCTAACGCTTGTACTTCCTTCTTTATCGCTTCGAGTCGTCCCTTCTCAGCCCTGAGCTCCTTGGCGAGCCTCTCCTTCCTAGCCAGTTGCTCCGCGACTAATTTCTTTTGGTGCTCCTCCACTAAAAATTCCAAGGACTATTTTAGTTAGCATGTACTATGTATCAATCAAACAAGTCAAACAACTCTAGATCTTACTTCAATCACTTTCTAATTCTACTTTGCCACGAATGACGACTCATAAATTCGATTACATATCGCCTAGTCTCATTAGGACTTTATCGATCATAACGATGACAACGGATCAGATATAAGGCAGTTTCATCAGCTATCGCATCTGCATCGTAGATTGACAGTCGCGCTCTCCGCGTCTGCAGCATTATCGCGCTTCTTAATAGCGGATAGAAAAAAACCACGAAAGGCCTTCGCGTGTATGCCGTTTAACGTAACGGCCCAGGAAACACGTCGGACTCTCACGATCAGAAAAACCGGATCAGGTGGTCCGCGTAGTTGTAACCGCGAGCGCGCGCGGGCTATGTATAGCCCGGAGCGTGGGGTCAGGAATGCGTAAATATCGTTCCCGGCGTTGCATGCGTGGGCGTAGTACGTGCGACCGAGTGACTTCCAGGTAAATATACACGTGCGCGCGATTCTGCAGCGCTGGCGAAAGCGACGGCGAGGACGCGCGCCGACGACGGTGTCGTCCTGTTCCGATTCGTGGGTTCACCTACCTTGGCAGAACGGCGATCGATTCCGATCGGTAGCCATGTGATCCTCCCCGAGGGAGGAAGAGACGGCGCTAAGAGGCCCGACGCCGCTGCTCGTTGTGGGTCCGCACGGTGTTGTGGGAAGGCTGCAGCCCGGGATGATGCTCGTCGTCGGCGGTATGGAGGGAGTAGTCGGCGCGCTTATCGTCGTCGTGGGCCTTGGCAATTGGCTAGACGGTTCTAGAGAAAGTTCTGAAAACGATACAGTAAATCTGTATTAAATAAACCCGTATCTCTCGTGTCAATTTTAATGAAAAAAATTCTCCAACTAGAGTTAAAGATTTATATTTTTATTAAAATGTGTGTGGATTCTGTTCTTAATTTTATTGAACTGTGATTTTACTAAAATTAGAATCGGACGTCTGGGAACACTTCGCGTATACATATACGCTTACGTTTCGTGTTTCCATCTATATAAATATTATATATAAATTTAATAATATCCTCTTTTTTTTTTACATACAATATATTTTACATTCGAAGTTTTATGAAGTATAATATTTTTTACATTTATATATAATATTTCTTTCTCAATAAAAACTTTTTGAAATATGAATGAAATTCTTGTCTCCAAATTAAGTCTAGATTGAATTGAAGTGTTTTGAAGTCAAGAACGTACCAGGCGACCGCAGTGGGCTTTGAGCCCACGGCGGCGGTATGAACGCCATAGGTGGTCTAATCCTCGCCGCCGCCACGCTACCGACGTTTCCAGGACCAATGCTGATCTGCAGGCGGCTCTGAAAGCCACGTGGGTCCAAGGACGAGGTCGAGTAGGTCAGACTCGACCCTTCCGACCTGATATCGATTGGAGGTTGCGGCTCAGAGGAGGGCGGCCGGAGGGTCAAACTGACTGACGTATAACTTCGCGTGTGATCGATTTGCGCCTCGGACTTTCCGATGGCTAACAGAGGCTCGGCGTAATGAGGCCGTGGCACGACGACGAGATCGCTTCGTTTACCAGCGCCGATCGTCGGTGCCGTTCGAAAATCTGCTGATATAAAATCACGATTAGACAATGATTTTTTTTTTTTAAAGAAATAGAATTTTTCTAGACCTCGCGGATAAATTTTAAGAGCCGACAGTTAAAACAAATCGAAAGAGAAGTCGACGGTGTATGATCGAAGTCAATTTAATCTGCGAACTGGTCCATCTGAGCGGTTGATGAACGGCGATTGCGACAGGAGTTTATGAGCGCGATTAAAATGAATTGTCTCTAATAATATTCGTAATAAACAAGCATGCCGCAAGAGATCAAGATTCAAAAAGAGCGTATCGCGTTGCTATGCAATCCGCTTTCGCTTGCAATTATTCTTTGGCATCCTATCTTTCTCTACTCTTGCCATAGTCGTCAGCAAAATATTATCATTTCACAATCTCTTTTAATTTGATGCTGTTGTAATTTAATTCTTAATCTATTGCTGTTGTAATCTAATTCTTAGTACGCTGCTGAATCGTATCACATATTTAACGCTCGACATTAATATATAATTATTGCAAGCAATTTATATTGCATATTTCCTGTCTTCTTTCCGAAAAGCAATTTACTTTATTATCAATTCTAATAAGTCTTCTTTAATATCCATGCTTTTTGCTAAAATATTAACTTAAAAATATTACGCATATTAAAAATATATTAAATTTTAAATATTTATTTGAATAGTGCCAACTAATATTTATTTATTACTAAATAAATATTTATTCAATAAAAAGAAATGATAATTAAATCAAATGAATGGGTCTTGTAAAAAAATAAATATATCTTTATATTTGGTAAATATTTAGTTGACACTATTCAAATAAATTTATTAAGATTTAGTATATTTTTTTTTTTTCAATGCACAGTCTTCGCTTTACAACTCGGAATGCTCAGCGTTAAATAGTGCGAATACAATATCAATTCCAGCAAGGAGACAACGTCCGTCTTCCGTACCGCGATTGCCTGCGGGGCTGCAGGCGACGTTGACGTTGAGCTCGAAGCCGGGTGGCGCGTTGCTGCCGTTGCTGTTACTATTGACGGTGCAACCATCGTCGAAGAAACCGCGCGACGTGCAGACAGCCGGGGCAGACGAGGGGGTGGCGACGCCGCTGGACGACGCCGGCGTCGCAGCTGCGACGGCGACGGCGACGGCAGCAGCGGTGCGGGTGCAGCCTACGAGAGGGTAGCGACGGCTCA